TACTAATAGCTGAGGTGGAAGTAGAGACGTCAGAAGAGCCTTCTGAGCTGCTAATAGCTGAGGTGGAAGTAGAGACGCCAGAAGAGAAAATAGAAGAGCCTTCTGAGCTGCTAATAGCTGAGGTGGAAGTAGAGACGCCAGAAGAGAAAATAGAAGAGCCTTCTGAGCTGCTAATAGCTGAGGTGGAAGTAGAGACGTCAGAAGAGAAAACAGAAGCGCCTACTGAGCTTGTAGCTGAGGTGGAAGTAGAGACGCCAGAGGAGAAACCAGAAGAGCCTACTGAGCTGCTAGCTTATGAAGAAGAAATTAAACCAACAGAGAGTAGTGAAGTGCTGCCAACTGAAGTGGGAGAAGATAAGCAAGAAGAGCCCTCTGACTTACTGATGGCTGCGGTGAAGAATCAAACTGAATTGACAAAGGCAGAAGAAGAGCTAGAGAAATCAGACGTCTCCATTGACAGGGCAACAACTGCGAAAGAAGTAGAGACACCAGAAGACCTTGCACATGGAGCGGCCGCTGAGATAGATTTGTCAACTATAGATCCCCAAATGGTTGCTATACCCAATGCTGAGTTTGGTTTGGATAAACATGCAGTGGTGACAGAAATGAGAACAGAACCTGAAGACCAATTCGTAGCTCTCTATAGAGATGAGGTTATACCTGAGATTTATGAGGATTGGGGATTGGGTGATGATCAGGCATATGAAACAGCGACTGAAATTCTGTATCCTATGGGATTTTTAGAGAGGGTTGACGAGACTACCGAGCTGCGAATAGCTGAGGTGGAAGTAGAAAGGCCAGAAGAGAAAACAGAAGAGCCTTCTGAGCTACTAATAGCTGAGGTGGAAGTAGAGATGCCAGAAGAGAAAACAGAAGAGCCTTCTGAGCTGGTAATAGCTGAGGTGGAAGTAGAGACGTCAGAAAAGAAAACAGAAGAGCCTTCTGAGCTGGTAATAGCTGAGGTGGAAGTAGAGACGTCAGCAGAGAAACCAGAAGAGCCTGCTGAGCTCGTAATAGCTGAGGTGGAAGTAGAGACGCCAGAAGAGAAAATAGAAGAGCCTTCTGAGCTGGTAATAGCTGAGGTGGAAGTAGAGACGCCAGAAGAGAAAACAGAAGAGCCTTCTGAGCTGCTAATAGCTGAGGTGGAAGTAGAGTCGCCAGAAGAGAAAACAGAAGAGCCTTCTGAGCTGCTATTAGCTGAAGTGGAAGTAGAGACGCCAGAAGAGAAAACAGAAGAGCATACTGAGCTACTAATAGCTGAGGTGGAAGTAGAGACGCCAGAAGAGAAAACAGAAGAGCATACTGAGCTGCTAATAGCTGAGGTGGAAGTAGAGACACCAGAAGAGAAAACAGAAGCGCCTACTGAGCGGCTAATAGCTGAGGTGGAAGTAGAAACGCAAGAAGAACCCACTGAGCTGCTAGATTATGAGGAGGAAATGAAACCGACAGAGAGTAGTGAAATGCTGGCAGCTGACGTAGGAGAAGATAAGCCAATAAAGCTCATTGAGCATACAACCACCGAGGAAGAAGTAGCGGTGACAGACCTGCCCTCAGAGTGGCCAACAACTGTGAAAGGAGAGAAACCAGTTGATACCACTGAGCCCCCAGCTTCTGATGATAAAATTCTGATAGAGGAACGACCCATTAAAGCAGCTGATATCCCCGCTCCTGATGCAGAAGTGAAACAATGTGAGCCTCCAGAAGTTACACCAGCAGAACTAGAAGAGAACCCACCAGAGTCCACTAAGATACCCATACTAGATGTAGAGCTGGAGAGACCAAATGATACAATAGAGGTTACAATGTCTGCCATAGTAGAGAGACACAAAGAGTCGCGTGAAACCTTAGCAGATGCGATAGAAGTGAAACCAGACATGCCTACCGAACCATCAACAGCTGAAGTGGACGAGAAACCAGAACAGCATATTGATACAACAAGAAACGAAGATGTATGCGTTGAAATCCTTTACCGGGAATCAGACGATAGCATTGAGACAATAACCACAACCTTAACAACAACAACAACAACACGGACTGAAAGTTTGGAAACCGATATATCGGGCCCAGAAAACACTTTGCAACAAGATACAGAATATCCCCAAACATCGGGGCCTGTTTCAATTGTTGAGATAGTTGCTGAAGAACTGGAAAACTCTGGTACAACGAGTGTCACAAAAATCACAAAGACTCTCATAAGTAGAGAAACAGTTGATGTTACTGATAGTTGCCCTGCTGCTCAAGGTGTTAGTTGTTATGAACAGGGTGTTGATGTAATGACGGAATATATTCAAACGGATTCACGTTTGCAAGAAGCTGATGTGGCTGCTATTAGACATGAGCTCGAAAAAACCAGTGACGTAACAGTCAAACATGAAACATTTGAGCAAAATCTGGGCTTAGGCCTGCCTTTAGCTGATGTGTCAAGGGAAACTGACTATGCAACCGAGGTTACTTCACATGAAGCAGAAGATAGTACTGAAACAACTACTACAACTCTCATAACAACCGTGGCAACTACACGGACTATAGAATCCATAGAGGTGGAACCAGATAACATTTCATCGAATGAAATTATAGCTACAGCAACAGAACCACACCAATCAACATTAATTGTTGATAGTCATGAGACGGAAGACGAATCTGGTACACTGACATCTGTGACGAAATTGACTAAAACGGTTATCACGACTCGTGTTGAAGACGTCACTGACTTAACTGCTGAACTAGAAGAGAAGGGAGCAAATGTGCTTTTTGATGTTAATAAGTCAGTGGATATGTTGAAAATGGAAGAGAGGCGAACGGAGGTTACACTTGATCGTCAACCTACAGAACCTACTGTGGCTTCTGAAAGGGAAGGCGCCGGGGAAATCAAGTGGGCCGTCATAACGGAGCCGAATCTAGACAAAGAAGTATGCACCGCTATCATTTCAGCCTCGTAACCACCATCTTGCAGTCTGTTTTTACTTATTTTATCATCACTGGCAAACAACTAGCTACAACTTTGTTTAACTCGTTTAGATATTTAAAACGGCATTTATAACCCATTTGCCGATGAACAGTAGACATCTAAGCACAGTGTCATACGTGTGATTATATGGATTACGGCTATAGCCTGGTGTACGTTATGCTCAGTAATATATTCAGTATCATTCGGGACAACGTGCTACGTTTTTTTCAGAAATTCAAGATATTTTGGAGATATTTAAGTTTTAAATTCAGTAATTATTTTGAGAATTCTCAGATAATCATCTCAAACGAGTAACCAGTCATTATTGTTGCCATCACGTATACGAGGTTATTATGAATAAGACAATAATGTGCTGATATATCCTTTAGGGCGATGACACGGTGTCACAGGAGCAGGAAACGAAACCAGATAGCGACGCAGAATTTCTACCCAAGACAGAAATGGTATGCTTTGCGATTTTATTGATTTGAAAAATAAGAGAACAATGAGAAGCAATAGAACAACCCGTGAGTAATATTTTATGTTAATAGCCAATTAGCCATATGAGTGTGCGCACATCCGAGCTGGTGTGGGCTATATGGTTGTGTAAAAAAAGTGCATTTTAATAGAAAGCAGGTACAGTTATACAAACTGAAAACAGCTTTTACACACGCGACAGCCACATTGCCTAAGCATGGTTCCTACATTCATTGGCTACCAGGATCTGTGCAATTATTAATTTGCCGTTTTTCCGTAATGATGCGAATTATGGTGAATAATGAAAAGCTTAATTTCTTAAAGTAGCACAATGCGCATCTAAACGCTAATTTCTTCAGTACTAGACTAGCAAATACTTCGTGTCATGCATAATCATACTACCTTATGGCAAAATAAACTCTAGTTCCTCCCATTTGACTGCGCGTTCCCAACAAGAAAGAGGTGCGAAATCAGGTAATCAGGCGCCAACGCTAAATTGTTTCAAACAACATAACATCGAAGTGGTGACGTGACGTCACATGTTTTTATCTTTGCTGCGCCCGTACCGCTGTACCGCGGCACCGCTGCACGGTTGCTTGGAGATTGGGGAACTGTCAACAACATCGGAGGTATTTTCAAAATACCTTTTATAAGACAACGCGCAGTGAAATGGGAGGAACTAGAGTTTATTTTGCCATAAGGTAGTATGATTATGCATGACACGAAGTATTTGCTAGTCTAGTACTGAAGAAATTAGCGTTTGGATGCGCATTGTGCGGCTTTAAGCTTAAGCTTTTAAGAGATAAATTTCACAATTATTACCGAGTTCCGTATGCAAAATGAGCTATGTGAACTGGAAAATCAAGGTGCCTCTCAATATTAGTGAGTAATTATATTATGTAGGTGTGTGCGGGTGTGTGGGTGTGCTTATGCATGTGTCTGCCTGTGTGCTTGTACATGTATCGATAATCTAACACTATTCTATGCGCTGAACTAACGGTTTACTCTCTTCCTGTTTTACAGATCAGTAGTGCGGTACAGGTAACAACGAGGATCACTGAAACAACAGAGACGGTAAGCCATTTTGCAGAAATTCATTATGCCATCAATCAAAATTTGTTAACAGTCCGTACTTTGTCAATGTTGTGCCTTATTTAAATTTCTGTTTTTCCGCTAGTGTGTTTACTCCCAATCCCAATAATGTAGCCGTTAGTGTTACCATTAACAGGCAATGTAACTGCTAAAGAGAGGCTAATCCAGTATGAATGAAATAATGCGTGCAGAAATGTGTGGAGGCATGTACCTATATTATAGTGCGTGTGTATCCGGGATAGGTAAGCACATAACATTGCAATCGTAATAGGCATCTATCAAACCAGAGCTATGTTTATGGCATTATACCAACCTGTACTAAATCTCGTCACCCTACGACATCCTGCCGCCGTAATAATGCTATAGCAATACTAACGCCAGAGAGATTTGCGTAATTAGGCCGTAGTATATTACCCTGCACAGCATAACTAAGCGTAGATGGAACATTGACCACGAGTCACGGACATGTCAATGGAGGCGTAGCAACAGCTGGAATTAGGCCACGTATTCAGTGGAAAATATATCCGCCACCGTTGGCTATGATTGACTGTGGAATGTACCTGTGATCAGAGGCGCATTACCCGAATGCTATTTGAATGAAATAGTACCAACACCTATACTACCAAACGATTATGAATTAATATCAAGGACATCGTGAATAATTTCTTACATTGATCTCCCCATGCATGTCTGTAGTTTGCTCTTTATTTAATCATGTGGCTAACTATACTTATCCTAACTTGCCTTGTAGTTATGCATGAGTAATAATTAAATTGCAGACCAATTATTTTATATTTAACCATCTTGGTATCTTTGGTTTTTCATTGACATTGCTGTTGAATTTCTCTTGGTTGTTTCAGTGCTGGTTATTCTCTATATTTGACTATTTAACATTATGTTATTCATTCCTTAACGTTTAAAGGTTCAATTTTTAGAGGTAGCCTATATCGACGTGTTATTTTGTTTGCTAACCTTTTACTTTTAATTTATTTTGTCTGTCACTCTTTCTTTCTAGTCTATCGGGGATGCAGATCTTTCTCAACTAATGACTCCATCTACAACAGTTTCATCTATGCTTACACAACACCATGTTGACACTATTGTTAAATTAGAGACAGTTGAGGAGGCAGAGGCAGATGATGTGACGCATGTACAATTTCATAAGCTAGATCTACATGAAGAAATGAATACAGCTGATGTCGAGTTAGAAATGGCTGAACCGCTTACTGAGGTGCAGACACCAGAGCAGCCTAGTGAAGTAGAAATCGCTGAGGTTGAAATTAAGAAACCAGAAGAACCAACTGAAATCTCTACAGCTGAGGTAGAGGTTGAGATACCAGAACAGCCTAGCGATGTAGAAACTGCAGAGGTTGAAATTGAAAAACCGGAAGAACCTACTGAGATATCTACGGTTGAGGTAGAGTTTGAGAAACCAGAGCAGCCTAGTCAAGTAGCAACTGCTTGGGTTGAGATTGAGAAACCGGAAGTACCTACTAAGATATCAACAGCTGAGGTAGAGGTTGAGATACCAGGGCAGCCTAGTGAAGTACAAATCACCGAGGTTGAAATTGAGAAACCAGCAGAACCTACAGACATATCTACAGCCGATGTAGAGTTTGAGATACCAGGCCAGCCGAGTGAAGTAGAAACTGCTAAGGTTTTAATTGAGAAACCAGCAGAACCTACTGAGATCTCTACGACTGAGGTAGAGGTTGAGATACGGGAACATCCAAGTGAAGTAGAAACTGCTGAGGCTCAAATTGAAAAGGCGGAAGAACCTACTGAGATATCTACGGCTGAGGTAGAGTTTGAGAAACCAGAGCAGCCTAGTGAAGTAGCAACTGCAGAGGTTGAAATTGAAAAACCGGAAGAACCTACTGAGATCTCTACAGCTGAGGTTGAGGTTGAGATACCAGGGCAGCCTAGTGAAGTACAAATCGCTGAGATTGAAATTGAGAAACCAGAAGAACCTACTGAGATATCTACAGCTGAGGTAGAGGTTGAGATACCAGGGCAGCCTAATGAAGTACAAATCGCCGAGGTTGAAATTGAGAAACCAGAAGAACCTACTGAGATCACTACGGCTGAGGTAGAGGTTGAGATACCAGAACAGCCTAGCGAAGTAGAAACTGCTGAGGCTCTAATGGAAAAGCCGGAAGAGCCTACTAAGATCTCTACGGCTGAGGTAGAGTTTGAGAAACCAGAGCAGCCTAGTGAAGTAGAAACTGCTGAGGCTCTAATTGAAAAACCAGAAGAACCTACTGAGATCTCTACGGTTGAGGTAGAGTTTGAGAAACCAGAGCAGCCTAGTCAAGTAGCAACTGCTTGGGTTGAGATTGAGAAACCGGAAGAACCTACTGAGATATCAACAGCTGAAGTAGACGTTGAGATACCAGGGCAGCCTAGTGAAGTACAAATCGCCGAGGTTGAACTTGAGAAACCATCAGAACCTACAGAGATATCTACAGCCGAGGTAGAGGTTGAGGTACCAGAACAGCCTAGGGAAGTAGAAACTGCTGAGGCTCTAATTGAAAAGCCGGAAGAACCTACTGAGATCTCTACAGCTGAGGTGGAGTTTGAGGAGCAAGAGCAGCCTAGTGAAGTAGAAACTGCTGAGGTTGAAATTGAGAAACCAGCAGAACCTACTGAGATCTCTACAGCTGAGGTAGAGTTTGAGAAACCAGAACATCCAAGTGAAGTAGAAACTGCTGAGGCTCTAATTGAAAAGCCGGAAGAACCTACTGAGATCTCTACAGCTGAGGTGGAGTTTGAGGAGCAAGAGCAGCCTAGTGACGTAGAAACTGCTGAAATTGAAATTGAGAAACCAGCAGAACCTACAGAGATCTCTACGGCTGAGGTAGAGTTTGAGATACCAGAGCAGCCTAGTGAAATACAAATCGCCGAGGTTGAAATTGAGAAACCAGCAGAACCTACACCGCAGACTCTCTAGACAGAAGTAGGTAGAATGTTGGAGATACCAGAACAGCCTAGCGATGTAGAAAACTGCTGAGGCTCTAATTGAAAAGCCGGAAGAACCTACCTGATGATCATCTACAGGCTGAGGTGCGAGTTGAGGAAGGCACAGAGCAGCCTAGTGACGTATGAAACTGCTGGAGAGTTGAAATTTGAAGAAATCCGAGCAGACACATCAAGATCTCTACGGCTGGAGGTAGAGTTTGAAGATACCGGCAGAGCAGCCCTAGTGAAATACGAGAACCGGCCGAGTGATGAATTGAGAAACCGAGCGCAGAACCTCCACAGAGATCTGCATACGGCTGAGGATGAGAGTTTGCGAGATACCAGGAGCAGCGTAAAGTCGAGAATAGAAACTGCTGAGGTGAAATTGAGGAAACACAGCCAAAACCTACCAGAGGATCGTCTATGGCTGGAGGTAGAGTTGAGAACGCAAGGAATTAGATGAACAGACGTGGCTGAGACGAACTGAATCTATTCGTGAAAGAAAGCGGACAGGAGCTGCCTCCGTGTTAGGCAGTTGCAGACGATATGGAAGAAGACAACCAGAGCGAAGAAGTTGGCCCATTCCTGAAATCGGCTCCGAACCCCAGGGAAAAGCAAAACGTAGGCGAAAACGTAAGCCTGCCGCGGTAGAGAGAGCGATAAAGACGCATCCTGACGTAAGAAGACGCAATGGAGAGGAGAAGTCTGCAACTTGGCTTGTGGCGAACTGGCTCTTCGGCCATGAAGTTGATAAAGACACGCGACATTACTGATGATGTAGAGCCATCAGATGAAGTACAGGAAACTCAAGAGGTGATCATTGCTGTGGCAATGCATGAGAAAGCACAAGAGTCCGCTGAGATCTCTACAGCCGAGGTAGAGTTTGAGATACCAGGACAGCCTAGCGAAGTAGAAACTGCTGAGTCCCTAATTGAAAAGCCGGAGGAGCCTACTGAGATCTCTACGGCTGAGGTGGAGTTTGAGGAGCAAGAGCAGCCTAGTGACGTAGAAACCGCTGAGATTGAAATTGAGAAACCAGCAGAACCTAGCGAAGATCTCTACGGCTGAGGTAGAGTTTTGAGATACCAGAGCAGCCTAGTGAAATACAAATCGCCGAGGTGAAAATTGAGACCAGGCAGAGAACCTACTGGAGATCTCTACAGCTGAGGTAGAGTTTGAGAAACCAGAACATCCAAGTGAAGTAAAGAAACTGCTGAGGCTCTAATTGAAAAGCCGGAAGAACCTACTGAGATCTCTACAGCTGAGGGGTGAAGTTTGAGGAGCAAGAGCAGCCTAGTGACGTAGAAACTGCTGAAATTGAAATTGAGAAAAACCAGCGAACAACCTACAGAGATCTCACGGCTGGAGGTGAGTTTGAGATACCAGAGCAGCCTAGTGAAAGTACAAATCGCCGAGGTTGAAATTGAGAAACCACAGAAACCTACCGAGATCGCTACAGCTGAGGTACAGAGGTGAATGATACAGAACAGCCTAGCGATGTAGAAACGCTGAGGCTCTAATTGAAAAGGGCGAAGACCTACTGAGATCTCTAAAGCTGAGGTGGAGGTTTGAGGAGGTGCAAGAAAAAAAGAGGCCGCTGAGGTGACGTAGAAACTGTTGTTCTGAAATGTGGAAATTGCAAGAAACCAAGCAGACCCTATCAGAAATCGTCTACGGCTGAGGTAGAGTTTGAGATACCAGAGGCAAGCCTAGTGAAATACCAAATCGCCCGAGGTAGAAATTGAAGAAACCACGCAGAAAACCTACTGAGATCTCTACAGCTGAAGGTAGAGTTTGAGAAACCAGAACATCCAAGTGGAAGTAGAAACTGCTGAGGCTGCTAATTGAAAAGCCGCGAAAGAACCTACTGAGATCTCACAGCTGAGGCTGGAGTTTGAGGAGCAGAGGCAGCACTAGTGACGGTAGAAACGCTGAGATTGAAATGAGAAACAGCGAGAACCTGACAGAGCATCTCTACGGCTGAGGTAGAGTTGTTGAAGATCGCACAGAGCAGCCTAGGTGAAATACCAAATCGCCGAGGTTTGAAATGAGAAACAGCAGGAACCTACTGAGATCTCTAGCAGCTGAGGTAGGGTTGAGAGAGACCAAGAACATCCAAGTGAAGTAGAAAACTGCTGAGGCTCTGAATGCAAAAGCCGCCGAGAACCTACTGAGATCTCTACACGCTGAGTGTGGTTTGAGGAGCAAGGAGCAGTCTAGTGACGTAGAACTGTTGAAGATTGAATGAGAAACCAGCAGAACCTACAGAGTCGTCAAGCCGCTGAGTAGAGTTTGAGATCACGCAGAGGCAGCCTAGTGAAATAAAAATCGCCGAGGTTGAATGAGGAAACAGCCAGAACCCTACCGAGATCTCTACAGCTGGAGGTAGAGGTTGAGATAGGCCGAACGAGACGTAGCCGATTGTAGAAATACTCGCTGAGGTTGAAATGAGAAACAAGCACAAACACTACTGAGATCTCTCGGCTGTAGGTAGAGCTTGAGATAACCAGAAGCCAGCCTAGTCAAGTAGCAACTGCTTGGGTTGAGATTGAGAAACTGGAAGAACATACTGAGATATCAACACTGTGTTGAGATACCAGGGCAGCCTAGTCAAGTAGCAACTGCTTGGGTTGAGATTGAGAAACTGGAAGAAACATACTGAGATAATCAACAGCTGTGGTGAGATACCAGGGGCGCCTAGTGAGAGGTAGAAATCGCAAAGGTTGAAACTTGAGAAACCAGCAGAACCTACTGAGATCTCTACGGCTGAGGTAGAGTTTGAGATACCAGAGCAGCCTAGTGAAGTAGAAACTGCTGAGGTTGAAATTGAGAAACCAGCAGAATCTATGGCTGAGGTAGAGTTTGAGAAACCAGAGAAATTAGATGAACAGACAGTGGCTGAGACAACTGAATCTATTCGTGAAGAAACGGAAGAGCCTGCTGCCTTGTTAGATGTGCCAGACGATATGGAAGAAGTGACAACTGAGGAAGAAGTTGACCATGCTGAAAATGGGCCACGAACCAGGGAAAGAAAACGTAGGCGAAAACGTAAGCCTCGCGGTAGAAAGACGAAAGACGCATCCTGACGAAGAAGACGGCATGGAAGGAGAAGTCTCAATTGTTGTTGGCGATATGGTTTCCCATGAAGTTGATAAAACACGCGACATTACTGATATTAGACCATCAGATGAAGTACAGAACTCAAAGAGGTGGATCATTGCTGAAGAATGCATGAGAAAAGCACAAAGAGTCAGCCTAGATATGCTAGCCAAAGGTAGAGTTTAGATAACCAGGCCCAGCCGAAGTGGAAGTAAGAAGGCTGCGAGGTTTGAAATTGAGAAACCAGCAAAAACCCTGCACGTCTACTGAGATGCTGCTAGCAGCTGAGGTAGAAGGTTGAGATCCAGCCGAACTAGCGCTAGCGAAGCTACGAACTGCTGAGGGCTCTAATTGAAAGGACCGGAAGAAACAGCTATCTATATCTCTACCGCTGCAGTAGAGTTTGAGAAAACCCAGAACACGCCTACGGCGAAAGCAGAAACTGGCTGAGGTTGAAATTGAGAAATCCGGAAACAACCTATCGGAGAACTCTATAGGTGAGGTGAGTTTGAGGAGCAGACGAGCAGCCTAGTACGTAGAAACTGCTGAGATTGAAACTTGAGAATCCAGCAGAACTACCGAGATCTCTAACAGCTGAGGTAGAGGTTGAGATCACCCAGAACAAGCCTAAGCGAGTAGAAACTGCTGAGAGCTGCTAATTGAAAAGCCGGAAGAAGCCTTCTCGAGATCATCTACCAGCTGAGGCTGGAGTTTGAGAGCGCAAGAGCAGACTAGTGACGCGTAGAAAACTGCTGAACGAATGAAATTGAAAACCAAGCAGTAACCATACAGAGGATCTCTAACTGCTGAAAGGTAGAAGTGTTGAAAAACGCAGAGCCGCCTGCAGCTGAAGTACAAATCGCAGTGGTCGAAATTAGAACGCAGGCGAACAAGCTAACTGAGATCTCTACACGCTGAGTAGAGTTTGAGAAACCAAGAACATCCAAGTAAAGTAAGCAAACTGCTGAGGCTCTAATTGAAAAGCCGGAAGAACCTACTGGAAGGATTCTAGGCAGCTGAGGTGGCGAGTTGAGAGCAGGACGCAGCCTAGTGACGTAGAAACTGCTGACAGAGGGGGAAGATTGAGAAGCAGCCAAAGAACCTACAGTAGATCCTCTATGGCTGAAGGTAGAGTTGTGGATACCAAAGAAGCAGCCTAGGAATACAAATCGCCGGAGGTTGAAATTGAGAAACGCGACGCAAACCTAACAGAGATCTCTATGGCTGAGGTGGAGATTTGAGAAAGCCCAGAGGAATTATTGAACAGAGCAGTGGCTGAGACAACTGAATGGCTATTGCGTGAAAGAAACGAAGAGCCTGCTGGCCTGTTAATGTGGCCAAGGGACGAATATGGAAGAAGTGACAACTGTGGAGAAGAAAAGGGTGGGCCGCATTTCGTGAAAAATGGTCTCACGAACCAGGGAATAAGAAAACGTAGGCGAAAGCGTAAGCCTCGCGTAAGGAAGACGAAAGACGCAAATCTCTGAGTCCGATATAGAAGGACCGGCATGGAAGGAAAGTCTCAATTGGTTGGCTCGGCGATATGGTTTCATAAAGTTGATAAAACACGGCCGAACATTAACTGATAGCCACGCCGATTACATAGACCAACTCAGGCACAGCCCGCGGATGGAAGTTACAGGGAAACGGGTCAAGAGGTGATCATTGCTGTGGCAATGCAGTGGAGAAAGCACAAGACCGTGAGATCTCTTACAGCGGCGCGAGTAGAGGGTGTTGAGATACCGAGGAGCAGCCTTAGGCGAAGTAGAAACTGCCTGAAGGCCCTAAAATTGGCCNTTTGTTATCTTCTCTCCCTCCCTCTACCTTTTGTTATCTTCTCTCCCTCCCTCTACCTTTTGTTATCTTCTCTCCCTCCCTCTACCTTTTGTTATCTTCTCTCCCTCCCTCTACCTTTTGTTATCTTCTACTTCTCTCCCTCCCTCTACCTTTTGTTATCTTCTCTCCCTCCCTCTACCTTTTGTTATCTTCTCTCTTTCCCTCTGCCTTTTGTTATCTTCTCTCTCTCCCTCTACCATTTGTTATCTTCTCTCCCTCTCTCTACCTTTTGTTATCTTCTCTCCCTCCCTCTACCTTTTGTTATCTTCTCTCCCTCCCTCTACCTTTTGTTATCTTCTCTCCCTCCCTCTACCTTTTGTTATCTTCTCTCCCTCCCTCTACCTTT